ATGTGTCATTAAGTGGGCCACACCTGATTTTATGACCCTTTTGGCTGCAGTCATTAAGTGAATCTGGGTTTCTTCACTGACTTTGCTTTTCGGAAGACACCAGGGAAGTTTGCAAATGGTGGACAAGTGACCTCAGGATGCTGCAACAGCTGTAAATACATGCCAGTTGTCATGTATCTGAATTCTGATCACATGCCTGCGGCAGTTAGAAGTGCAAAGACTGCCGTAAGTCACATTTTTCTGCACTTTGAACTTTGAACAGTCATTAAACAGACAGTTATAAGTCAAGGACTATAGTACTTGTATAGAATTAATGATTCTTCTACAAGTTCTGATCCTATGCATCTGGCAGCAGCAGAACCATACAAATTAATAGAATAGAATAGAGCTGGAAGGGACCTTGGAGGTCTTCTAGTCCAGCCCCCTGCTCAAGCAGGAGAACCTATCCATTTCAGACAGGTGACTGTCTAGCCTCTTCTTAAAAATCTCCAGTGATGGAGCGCCCACGATTTCTGGGGGTAAGTTGTTCGACTGGTTGATTGTCCTCACTGTCAGGCAGTTTCTTCTTAATTCCAGGTTGCTTCTCTCTTTCATCAGTTTCCAACCATTGTTTCTTGTCCTTCCCTCTGGTGCTTTGGTGAACAACCTGGCCCTCTCTGCCTTGTGGCAGCCCCTAAGATACTGGAATACTGCTATCGTGTCTCCCCTACTTCTTTTCTTTAGACTAGCCAAACCCAAGTCCCGTAGCTGTTCTTCATATGTTTTAGTCTCCAGGCCTTTGATCATCTTAGTTGCTCTTCTCTGATTTTTTTCCAAATTCTCAACATCTTTTTGTGATATGGTGACCAAAATTGGCTGCAGTATTCCAGGTGTGGTCTTACTAGGGTTTTATAAAGCAGTACTAATACTTCACGTGATCTTGATTCTATGCCTCTGTTTATATAACCCAGGATTGTATTAGCTTTTTTGGCTGCTGCTGCACACTGCTGGCTCATAGTCAAGGGATCATCCACTAGGACTCCAAGGTCCCTCACACAGTTGCTGTTTTTAAGGCAGGTCTCGCCCAATCTGTGTTTGTAGCTTTGGTTTTTCCTGCCTAGATGTAAGACTTTGCTTTTCTCCACATTGAAACTCATTCTGTTGGATTGGGCCCATTGTTCAAGTTTGTCAAGATCTTTTTGGATCCTGAGTTTGTCTTCTGGGGTGTTGGCTACTCCTGTCAGTTTGGTGTCATCTGCAAATTTAATGAGTTCCCCTTCAATTCTCTCATCTGAGTCATTTATGAAGATATTGAAGAGTGCTGGGCCTAAGACAGAACCTTGTGTACCCCATTGCTTACTCCTCTCCATGTGGATGTAGTGCCCTTGAGGACTACTTGTTGAGTACGGTTTGTCAGCCAGCTACAGCTAAGCACATGAATTTTTTCAGGATCCAGAATACCATGATGGAGACCATTAATTCCTCTATTTTGGGCTGCTATTTAAAGCATTCTCACCATGATCAAAGTTGACTCAGCCTTCCATCCATCTGAGTTTGATAAAATGAGGAGCCAGATTTTGGGGGGCAATAGGCTGACTTTGTGAATTGCTTAGATAGGGCTGTAAAGCATTGTGAAGTAATATATAAGTCTAAGTGCTATTGCTATCATACCAACAAATTTTGTTGGATCACTGAAAAATTGGCAATCTCTTCTGCATATCTTAATGTATCAATACAAACACAGAAAATTTATGGGTGTTCCCGCCCCCCCAGCCTATCCTTGCAATTTTCTTTTCATCAAGCTTCCCAGCAGATTAAATTTTAAAATGTGTCATTTGAAACATATCCCATAGGTATCATTTCTCCCCAAATATTTTTTTCTTTCATTCAAACATGCCCGATTCTCAGAGATTGCCTTCACGAGTCCTTGAAGTTTTCTTGAAGAGGTTTTTCAGAAGTGGTTTTGTGCCTAAAGTGGGAATAGAATGGAGTCTCCTAGTTTCTATCTAACCTGATGCCTTAACCACTACATTAAACTGGCTCTCTCCAATCCCTAGCACTGCATTTTAACGTGACTTTTTAAAATTATATCATTTGGTTGCTCTAATAGCAACATACACTATTTTTTAGATTTACAACAGGCCAAAGCAGTCAATAATAGCCCATAACTCCCTTGTGCCTTTAATGCTTGTATGCAAATGAAAAGCTCAGCAGCTTAAAGTTTAATTAATATTAATAATGATTAATGCATGATGATTAACATTATAAGAGTCAAGAAACATGGTCAGCAGATGATGGTTGATTACATCATTGTTTGAATCTATCCTCTGGCATATTCATCTAAGACTATTTGCAGTTGTCATTTGCAAATTATTTTAAGTTAAATGATTATTAAAGCAAAGCTAAACCAATTAATTCTGAAAAAAGCCACCCTCCCCATGCCACCCAAAAGGTGACATTCTTATGTTTTTGCTAACAAACATTAATTGAAAAAAGAACATTAATTACTCATATATGTGAACACAGTATTAGCAAATATTCCAAATACTGAATGGATGAAAGTTTTTTTCTAGTTTAGTAAACTGGTAACAAGGCTTGAGGGGAAACGGGCAGCTGTGAATTTAAAAGAGATTAGAATTGGAAAGAAAGAAAGAAAAATTCTAATCAGTTATGTTAAACAATAAACAAGGACATAATTCAGGCTAGGTTTATGGCTTAGTTTTGGAAGAAATATAATCTGTTTTGGGGTAAGTTCAATTACCTCTTTGAAAATGAGGAGTGATATCTTTGAAATTGCTGTTTTGTGAAAATCTCCCACATTACAGGTAGTCCTTGAGGTACGACGACAATTGAACCCAAAATTACTGTTGTTAAGTGAGACATTTATTAGGTGAGTTTTGCCCCATTTTATGACCTTTCTTGCCACACTTGTTAAGTGAATCACTGCAGTTGATAATTTGGTAACACGGTTGTTAACTGAAGCTGGCATCCTTATTGACGTTGCTTGCCAAAAGGTTGCAAAAAGTGATCACATGACCTTGGGACACAGCAACGGTCAAAGTATGAACCAGTTGCCAAGCATCCAAATTTTGATCACATGATGCTGGGGATGCTACAAAGTTATAGGTGTGAAAAATGGTCATAAATCACTTTTCTCAGTGCTGTTGTAACTTTGAATGAACTGCTGTAAGTTGAGGACTACCTGTACTATGTTTTCAGAGAAAATCTGGATTCTTAATTATTTTCTTTGACATATTCAGTTTCACCAGGGCAATATTTGAGACCATAACCTCCCTTATACATAAGCAGCAATGAAATCATCTTTTAATACCCTATTATCACCCAGAATAAACATGTGACTCAGTCTTAATACTCCCGCCTCTCCATCCAGAAAACAAAACACTTGGATGATAAGTTATTCATTTGCATCTTGGATCCTCACGGATTTCAGATTTAGAGGCAGACTCAGTAGCACGACTGGACATATTCTCAGCTGAAAATGGTTAAGGGAGGCATTCATGTCGTCCTTCCCACCTCCGTGTGTCAGATTATATGTGATTATTCCTCATCTTGATTTGTTAATTGTGAGGCACTAAACAGACTACAACCAATGATCTGAAAAAAAGACATTTCCCAACATTTTTAAAGTAAATTTCAAAGGCAACATTTCTATGCCTTGTTCAGAATTTCCAGCATCTACCAAGCTTTTGTTCTTGTGTTTGGATGGAACCAGACAAGGTGGAATCTCCACTTCAGACCAGAGATAGGAAGGGATGGGAAGATCCTCTTTGTTCAGCCATGCTCTTTTGACCAGTTTATAGTATTTAGACGTATATATCACTTCATAGGGCTTTATAGCTTTATAGCCCTCTCTAAGCGGTTTACAGTCAGCATATTGCCCCCAACAATCTGGGTCCTCATTTTACCGACCTCAGAAGGGTGGAAGGCTGAGTCAACCTTGAACCAGGATAAACTCTTGGCTGTGGGCAGAGTTAGAGTTAATCAGTTCCATCCCAAGAAGGTTTTCTACTATGCTGTTTCCAACATCAGCAGCCCATGCCTCTTTGCGGAGGTGTCCTGTCCACTTTCTGGCCAGGATTTTTCAATGGTATCTTACCCACATTGTTTAGCTTTGAGGAGGAATCCCCCAGCCAGATATAGATGCTCCTTAATGAGTGTTCTGACTTCCTTCCAACTCTGTTATTCTGTTAAAATCAAAATCCCATAGAAGATTTTGACTAAGCCAAATCAAACAAATCACATTATGGCTTGTCAATCCAACCAACCAATAAAATTGAATTCTGGGCTTGTAAAGCAGAATGCAGTCTAATTGTGTCATGCTATAATTCAATTCACTAGGCAGTTTAGGTTTTAAAGGGGGGGGGCTATTTTAGGGACAAAATTCATGTGACACCATTCACCCCGACAATAGTAATTCATAGCCTCAACACTTCCTGTGCAGGTAACTGTAGCACACTCTACACAGTGGTGGGATTCAGCCAGTTCGCACCACTTTGGCAGAACCGGTAGCTAATTTTTTGCTGCCCAGGCCCAGAATGGACTTCCGGAAGCGGCATCCACACAGAGAACCGGTTGTTTACATACAGTATTTGAATCCCACCACTGACTCTACATAAGGTTGCCCTTAAAGATCACCTGGGAACTTCAGCTGATCCAAAATGTAGTGGTGGTTAAGGGAATAACAGCAGATTCAGCAACATTTATGCTATGGTCACTACATTGGCTATCATATTGCTTCTGGAACTAATTCTGGATATTAACTTTCTCTCCTAGGTTTAGCCCATCACATGCTGACTACTGAAGGAGGCTATGACTCCCAACAAGACTGGCCTCCTACTTTGGAGTACCCCAGTAATGGAGATAAGGAATGTCCCCTCCTTCAGACTTTTGTCTTCTTCAACTGTACATCACCTTGAGTTTTTTGTTGTAATTGTATACATAATTAATATATAGCATATTCTAGAGAGTCATATTCTTTTGGAGCAAAAAACAACAAAGAATTAGGGGGCATCTTAAGGACTAATGACTTTATTATCGCAAACATTGCCATGGACTGCAGTCTCACGTTATATTTTATTAGCCTATACAAAATATACAAAATGTACAACTACACAAAGGTCTGACCTGCAAAGCAATAGCTATAATAATAAAATATAAACTAGTTAGTTATACTTGTAGTTATGATTCCACTGGATCCTATGATGGGATAAACTGTAATGAGGATCCTTCAAATATCTAGAGACCTTAACAAGGTTAGTTTTCATTATAAGCCATGAAATTCAGACATTGTCACGGTAAAAAAAAACAACAACACTTGTATGTGATCTGTCTTAAGATTTTATAAGAATGGCTAATACAGGTGCAGCATTTTTTTCCTCTGAAGTCACTAATGAAACATTAATAGATATTTTTGTCCCACTGGATTTGAAACCTAGAGTTGGATCTCAGATTTCTTAGGTTCCTAGTTTTCCATCTTTCATATATGAAGTTCCACAAATCCTTCCATCAAAGAACCTGAATCTCACCAAGTTAGAAACAAGAAGCCCATTTTATAGTTACTGTATGTTTTAAGGTCATGTCAAAAACAGTAATATTGTTGAAAATAATGTTTATTGCTACAATTATAGCGGACAGGTAATTTGAGCTGATTTAGTGAAAGAATCATCTCTTAAACACACATCAGGAAGTGCATTAAGAGAGAGAGAGATTGTTAACTAACACAGAATATTATTTTGTTTTCTAACTTCTCTGAGATAATTCCAATTCTCAGTTCGAGGAAAGATATCGTTAATTTGCTCAGTTCTCCATGTTCAGCCAAAGTGACTCTTTTGCCCTCCTTCTCTTTCTCCTGGAGTCTTTTCCGGTTATGAAATAAATTATGCCCCATTTGCAGTTTTTCCCCTGCTTGCACATAACTGCAAGCAACATCTTTTTTATACTATATTCCCATGATGTTACCTTCATATTCTTCTCAGTTCATAAGTTAGACAGGCTTTAATCTCAATGTTAATGTAGTGTTTTCCCACTTCTTCAGCATTATCTAAAGGCAAACTCAAAATGTATAGATTTGTCCTAGAAAGAGAAGTCAGATAACTAGGAATAGAGGTGTCCAAAGTAGAATATGGATCTGTTATAGCTTTATATTGGCTCAAAGATGAATGGAGAGCAATAGTTCAGTGGGGAAAAGTCCTTAAGCCTCTCCAGTATACCACCAGTGGGACATGGAACAGTGGCTGAGTTATATTGTTCCAAGCAATTAGATTTAATAGTAGAAATCAATAAAACATGTCCCAAGCAACTGAATGTAACAATGAAAGCCAATAAAAACATGTCTTCTTGTAAAGGATCTCAGAGGGTTATATGAGAAAGCACATGTTATAAATTGGTGAGTGAGGTGTGAGAGAATTTTCATTGTTTAAATATCATTTCATTATTTGATTATAATTTTCCAGTGCAACTCCTGGCCCCTTCTAATTCAGGTTTTTTTTTTTTTTTTTTTGCTGCTATTGCAAATGTTCAGAAACCAGTTATATCCAGCTGTATTCCATTATGCCCATAAAACTGAGTTGTTCATCAGTTGGTAATACATTTTATTAAGAACATTTTTACTTTTCAAATAAACGTTAACCTAGAACCTGATTACCTGAATTTGTTGTGAACTTTCCTTCTAGGCCTGTTCAGGAGCTTCTTTGAAGTAGTTCTCTCCAAATCAATTGTGTTTATATTTAGTACATATTTTGGATGCATTTCCAAAGAATCTGGACATCCACGAGGCTTACTGGATGCACATTAATCACCCACTATAAAACAATGTCGAGACTACTAATAGTTATTTATCCCAATGTGCCACAATGAATTAATTTAAAGAAAACAAATATCTACAACAATCCAGAAATTCCTACACAATGCTATAAAAGATCCCTGGATCATCCATCACACAAGCCTATGCTCTCATAGCTTGGGGGTGGAGTGTCACAGACAATGATGGCTTCATCCCGTGACGCTAAGCTTGGCTTGGGTGGAATGTTCCGAAACAAAACACCATCAGAGGAACTGCGTCTTCGGCTGCCCAGCCCTTTGTGATTTTCATCCACCACCTGATATAGGGGCAGCCTGATCTCCTTTGAAATCTGAGACTGCATGTCGCTGGAGGCATTTTTAGCAGGTTGACAATTCAAAGCCTCCTCGTAAGTGGGAATACTGGTGGCCTCCCAGGTGCTGAAACAGAATCAAGACCACAAAGAAAATCAGTTGGGGTGTGCGTGTCCTAAAATTCAATATTTGATTCTAAAATAAAGTGTGCAAAGACAAGCACGAGCACTGTTATATGTTCTAGAGGAACTAGAAGCTTGGGGGGGGGGAAATATCTTCACTTTTCTGGTGTCCCATAAAAGAAAGAAAGGAGAGAGAGAGAGAAAGAGAGAGAGAGAGAGAGAGAGAGAGAGAGAGAAATATTGTGGTTATATATCTCTGCAGATAGCTCAGGCTGAGCATAAGGAAATTTCTATTCTATTCTGTTCTGTTTAGGTTTATAAGGTTTGTAAGGGTGAATGAATCTGCCAGTTTTGCAAACTCCTAAATTTAAATCTTTTACATCCCAAGTTCTTCCTCTCCCACAAATGAAAAAGTATGCAGATATTAGTAAAATCTTATTGTAATGAAATTTTCATCCTCTGGCACCTGCCGAGTTCCATAAGTCATAATAATCTGTTTTTATCACCAGCAGGAGAAACAAAATTGAGGGTGCGCTACAAGTTGCAGTTGAAGGAGGAGTTTACAGATGTTGAACACCTTGGTTCAATATAAAAAAGATGGAAGATTACACAGAGAAGGAAACCCAGTCTGGCAGAGGCGTTATCTAGTCAGGTCAATCTGACTCATAACAATCAATTACTGTACACATCACAGCCAAGCCCCAAACTCCCATTTCTTCTACTCCATGCAACATAACCTGGTTATCCAAACAGGGTGGGTAGGAAAACCAGCATGCATTTGGCAGGAATTGGGTTTTCCATGCCCAGTCAAAGTCACAGCCTGGCCAGGATCGCTTTCCAGGCTTTGAAGAGAGAGTGAGGAAAATGGGAAAGTAAACAGAAATCTTTTCATCCTGTACCAGCAGAAACCACAATGCCTTTAAACTGGGACTGGGAGTTCCCCAAAGCCCTTACCTGCTACAGATATTACATTAGAAACACAGAGACTGAATGTGTATGATAGTTGTCTTATCCATTCAGCCTCTGAAAGCGAGGTAAGAAGCAGATCGTGCTGCAAATTTCTTCAGTGCTAGTGTAGTATTTACCCACAATGGATCCTCAGCTTTCTCCACACTTTTAAGAAACACCCAGTATCAAAACGCAAAGGTATGTCCACTGATTAATCTTTACTGCGTGGGCCATAAAACATGAAATGTGCCAATTTTTTTCTGTTGTATTTTACTAAACAACACGGTTTGTGTACAGATAAAACTTTCACATAACCTTTGCTCATCTCATTTCCTCTTTTTCAAGGGGAAAATAATTTAGAAGTGGAAATAACTATGAATAGGGATTGTTGAAATCATCATGAAAACAGACTAGTCAGGCAGAGACTGCTCTACCTAGACTAAAAGGAAAAAAATGGGGAAAATTGCTGTAATATAGTATGTAATCATTGTTTCATAATCTCTGGTTTGCAGAATTAATTGGAGAAAGTAATTTCATTGTTAGGTATAAGAGTTATATTTTTAATCTCACCCTTTCCCAATGCTGGGAGAAGGGGGGGGGAAACAAGTGAATCAAATTTCTTTGTGAGAATCAAAATTCTAACAATTCAACCATCTTGAAGTTTCACAATCATATTTAAAATGGGCTAATAAAACTCTTATTGTGTTACTGTTCTGTTCTGCAAAAACTAATACACTAAAACAAAGTGCCTCAATATGATACCCTCCTGAAATTTGGACTATTGATCTCATTGTGTCCAAACATTTGCTGTGCTGGCTGAATATTATGGAGTGGTAGTCTAGTACCTAGCTGTCCTTGTTTTGTCTCCAAAACTAAGCAGGGTTAGGACTGGTTAGAACTTGGGTGTAAGGTTTGCAAAAAATGAGGGGCTATTGGCTAGACTAGGAATTTGAAAAACATCCCAGAAGGCAATGGCAAACCACTTCTATATTGACAGGTCCATGAAGTTACCAAAATCAAGCTTAACTTGAAGAATTTTACAACCATGTGCAACACATTTATAAGTCTTGAAACTGAGGTAGACTCTAAGGGAGACATTGCTCAACAAGCATGATCTTTGGTTGAGAAAGACCTAATGGCCTGCAAGAATAAATGTGGTTTTGGGCTACTCCAAGCTAAAAGTCTTGGAAGGAACGCCTGTTTCAGAATGCCATTTGGCTAGATGGCTTCTGACAAATTAACCTTCTATCCCTCTCTTCTCTTGTATGATGCTTCTCTTGAAGTAACCCTTCCTGACAATTATTTGCTAGGCATGTCAAAAGGACTATGTTGATCTCTCAAGCAGGGTTACAAAGATCTTGCTAACCTGCATGTCTGCTTTTCAAGAGGCTCGACAGTGGAGTACTGAAGGTCACTGGAAAAATGGTACTGGTAGTGCCGGGAAATTATTCCAGCATTGGCTGACCAAAGGAGTCCAAACAGAAGAAGCAGCCCACCAATTCCACAACAGAAGAAGCTGATTGATCTGAGTACAGGACTGGAAGATGAAGCCCTGGTCATAAGTTCCGTTTCTCCTTGAATTGTGACTTTGGGGTCACTGCTGGGCGCAGTGGCCCCCATTTCACCGTCGCTCCACCAAGCAAAGCACAGTGTTCCCGTCACCAGCAGGATAGCTCCAGCGATGGTCACTCCATGACGCAAAGAAGCTATTGCCATGTTAAAAACTGAGGCCTGTGGAGATTATAAAGTACTTTAAAAGGAAAAGGTCCTGGTGACAACACTCAGGCTGGAAAAGAGGCAAGAAAACAAATGGTGAGTAGATACAAACAGACCACAAAACAAAAGCACAAACTTTAGATTCAAAGAGCATCAATTCAGATTTACTGTCTGCCTTTTCAAACAGCCCAAAGTCTTCTTAATGGAAGGAAAAAATCAAATGCCATTCAATAAAAGTTACATTTATCCTAGGAGGCAAATTTACAGCTTTTGCTTTTGAGATCAATCAAACGGCTTTATAAATCTCTCTACATTTTACAGCAAATTCATTTTACATGCACTTTTTATATGGAAATTGGATGAAGCCACAGAATTTGAAGGAATCGGTAAAGAGGATCCCCACTGCCTTACATATCTACCTATATCTTGATCCAAATAACACTAGGTGATCCAATTTTTACAGGACTTCATCACAGGTTCATTTTTATAAGATAAACCTTTCATTCAACTTTGCCTGCTCAGAGTGAAATACTGAGATGGTATTCAGTTCAGCTGGGAGCTCAGCTAAAATCTGACATTCATCTTAGTGCAATATTCCCTTGCCATATGATTTAGCATTCAGATGAAAAGATTAACACAAAAATCACTTTTGTAGTTTTAAAAAAAAGGTTATAAAGGGTAATCTGTGAGTTCTAAGTTCTAAATTCTGGAAGATATTCGGATTTGAGAAGCCAATCAACGTCATATAATCATACATAACAAAAATTGTGTTATGCCTTTTGATGCATATTTCAATACACACACATACACACACACACACACAATTCCTATCAAATCTCAAATTATAACATGACCAATTGTTGGGATTAATATTTTTCTTATTGAATACCTGTTGATATTTTTGGGGGTATTATGGATGGCATTATTTTCGCTACATATGCTACATGATGTACAACCCTTAACAATTACAATTACAGGTAGGGTGGTCGACCTACAACCACAGTTGAGCCCAAACTTTCTTTGCTAAGTGAGACATTTAAGTGAGTTTTGCCCCATTTTATGACCTTTCTTGCCACAGTTGTTAAATGAATTACTGCAGTTGTTAAATTAGTAATATGATCGTTAAGTGAATCTGGCTTCCCCATTGACTTTACTTGTCAGAAGATTGCAAACGGGAATCACGTGACACTGCAACCGTCATAAATATGAGTCTGTTGCCGAGAGTCCAAATTTTGATCATGTGACCATAGGGAGGCTGCAATGGTCCTAAGTGTGAAGAACTTTTTTCAGTGGCATTGTAACTTTGAACAGTCACTAAATGAGCTGTTGTAAGTCGAGCACTACCTGTAGATAAAACCTCCATTGTCTTGTGCTTTGATAGCTTTTGGGTGAGGGAGCCCCTGTTTTATGGTGGTCCTCCCTTTTTCTATGTTTGGTTTTGGTTAGTATTGATGGGGTAGAGATGTCACACTTGTGTCCCCTCATTTGTGTAATGCTTTCACCTTCCTCCTACCGAACATCGATACTTTAATTTCCTGCAAATGTTCTACTGTCGCTCTAGTTTCTTTCGATTACGTCCACTTCTTCAGTGTGCCTTTCCCAAATTCAGCTCTTGACACTAGCAAGAAATTGCCTGACTTATAAATCTCTCACTGCATATTTCACTAATCACCTTATTCTTTTGCAATAAACAATGCTCTCTTATGCTTTTAAGATTTATATGCATTCCTTTGCCAGGTAAATGTAGGAAAAGACTTGCGTTTAAATCACACATTCAGAAGAGACAGATCTTTAGCTAAGCAGATATTTGCCAAACAGTCACCATTTTGATTCAGGCTTGGTTGTCCAAAACATGTATATATACAGGTAGTCCTCGGCTTTCAACAGTTCATTTAGTGACCATTCAAAGTTTCAACTGGAAAAAAGTGACTTATGACAGTTTTCACACTTACAGTATGAAATTCCATACTGGTTATGTAATTCCATGGTTATGTGATTAAAATTCAGATGCTGGCAACCGGCTCATAGTTATGATGGTTGGGGTGTCCCGGGATCATTTGGTCATCTTTCATGACCAGCAAAGTCAATGGGAAAGCCAACAATTGGATTATTAACTTAACAACTGCAATGATTCACTTAACAATTGTGGCAAGGTAGGTCGTAAAATTTGGCAAAACTCACTTAACTGTATCACTTAGCAACAAAAATCTTGGATTCAATTGTGGTCATAAGTTGATAGTGTACTGAACACTCTCTTGATGAACAAGGAAGACTATGGACAGTGGGAAGTTTCCCCAACAGGGACATTCTACCGAATTTAGAAACTTGATTATCCAGGGTTTTTTAAAACCTGGGAAACTTTTATAACAGGGCTCTTCAAACTTGGCCCTTTTATGACTTGTGGACTTCAACTCCCAGAATTCCTCAGTCAGGCACGGTGGCTGAGGAATTCTGGGAGTTGAAGTCCACAAGTCATAAAAGGGCCAAGTTTGAAGAGCCCTGTTTTATAGGATGGAGTTATGAAGACTTCTGTCTTCATTTCTACACTCATTTACAGAGATCATACATCAGGGGTACCCAACCCCCGGTCCACAGACTAGTACTGGACCACAGCATGCGAACAACCGGTCCGCACAAACAAGCAGGGATGCAGGCAGCACGCAAAACCATGCACTCTCCAGTCCATGGAAAAACCTTGCTCCACACAACCGATGTTTGGTGCCCAAAAGCTTGGGGACCTCTGCCATACATGACTTAATTTTCAAAGGTTGAAGAGGGCTTAGTCAACCCTCATCTACCAACAAGTTTCCACTCTTGGAAAGAACTGCCCCCATCCAATGACCAATAATTTGCAGATTGAGGAAGATTTTATATTTTGCACATCCCATATTCACAGCTGCTAGCACAGTAGCTAAATGTTAGAATGAAATCTCTGAAGATGCACCCTTACATCTATGTGCAATGTGAGCACTGTAATTATATGGGGGAGCTGCTAACAGTGCAAAAAGGCTGGGTGTGAATCAGATGTTAATCATCATACATGTGGTTTCAAATGAAATAAAAGGGCAAAATGAAATAAAGAAAAATAGTGTTTCAAAAACTAGCTCATTTAGTTATTCATGTCAGCAATATATATATATATATATATCGAGTGTTATTGCTGAGGCTGTATTGCAGCAGTTGGAACACGTAGCGATGACCCAATGCTGCCCAAAGTTCTGGGCCCACTACGTTGACGACACGTTCATCATAATTAAGAGGAGTCAAAAAGCTGACTTTGTGGACACACTTAATTCGGTGTGCGTGGACCTGCAATTTACGGAGGAGGAGGAGTATCAGGGTAGGCTGGCATTTCTTGATGTCTTAGTCCAACGCCAGCCAGATGGGACCTTAACCACCCGGGTCTATCGCAAACCCACGCACACCGATAGAATTTTGCACTACAACAGCAATCACCCGGTGGCCCACAAAGTCAGCTGCATTAGAACCCTCTTTAAGAGGGTGGATTCCCACTGCAGTACAGCCGAAGCTAGGACAGAGGAAAGAAAACATCTCCTCCGTCTCTGTAGGTACAATGGGTACCCCATGAAATTCATCAGACGCCACAGTACTCTGTCCAAACCATCCCAAAATCCATCAAGTGGGATGGTACCATCACAGACGACTCGTATTACCCTCCCTTACATTAGCAACGTCTCGGAAGCCACTACCAGACTATTGGCACCCTATGGTGTAAGGGTTGCACATTGACCTGACCAGATGTTGCGTTCCTGCATTATGAGACCAAAGGACCCACTCCCCATAGTTGAGAGATCTGGAGTCGTTTACAGGATCAACTGTAATGACTGTCCAGGCAATTATGTGGGAGAAACTTCCAAAAGGGTCGGAACAAGAATGCAGGAACACAAGCTGGCAATAAGAAGAGGTGAGCAGTACTCCCAAATACTGACTCACATGGAGGAGTTTGGTCATAAATTTAATTTTGACGACGTAAGGATGGTTGCCAGTGACACCTCCAAGAGTGGTAGGTTACTCAAAGAAGCCTGGTTTTCAGACAGCATGTCAATCAATCGACATGTGGACCTACGCCCGGCATATCAGACCATGAAGGCGTGGGAAATGCGTAGACGACCTGGGAAAAAACATCTGAGTAACAAAAACTCTGGGTGTCCATTAGATGAAACTGGCAACAAAGAAGAGAGACATCTACAATCTAGACCCCCTTTAGTTAATGATTCGTGTGTACATCCGCCATTAATTAAGAAATTTGTTGATATTAGTAGCCCTTCCTCGGATGCCCCAGACACCTCCTTGCATTGTACCCAATACTCAAGAATAAGAACAACAAGTGTCCCAATTAACACAAAACAAACTCGCTACCCCAGTGACTATATCGGCTCCACTGTCCCCAATGGTGCCCCCGCTACAATGCACCTGGTCGCCGGTGCCTTGGAAATGGATAGGAATTCAAAAAAGGCAACACCTACTATGAGCGATGGCAGAATAACACCTTTGCTATGCGGCCACACCGATCAGAGCCACCGAGACAGAGACATGCCTTCAATGGATGTACAGAAGATCAATACTTACAGCTGCCCTATTATGGGGGTGGTCACGCGCTCCCGGAGAGCGGCGTTATGGAAGACTGAAAGAGAGGCAACCGGATTGAGAGTTGCACCGGGTGGCACGAAGGAAGAGCACGGAGGAGGCGATATGCTGGCAACAGTGGGGGGAAATAAAAGTGTGGATGAGATTGGTGGCAAGGATTGTGGGGGGATTGAAGGAGTGACAGGATTGAAGAATGCAAATGAGTGAGATGCGTGCCGGAGGAGTGGAGGAGAGAAACGTCCCAAGGAACACAGGAAGAAGAATCAACTCAATAGTGCAGAGGACCCTTTAATTTTGAGAAACACACGTTGCCTATATGATTCAGGAACTAAAGGGTGGGGGGAAGTAGGTGGTTGTGTGGATGTAAGTAAGAACTATAAGAAAGAATCACTGAAGGCTGTAAGTGAAGCAAGGATTAGTCGGCTTGGACCTCTTACAAGGTCCATGCGTAGAGTTTAGGTATGGCTATGCTTATAAGCAGGTTTCCTCATTAGCTGGCTTGTATCCTGATGATGATGGCAGATGTTAGCCATCGAAAGCTTGATTTTATTTATTAAAACCTTGGTGTTTTATTTCCTGGTGATCGCTTCCTTTTTTACTGAAATATATATATATATATATGTGTGTGTGTGTGTGTGTGTGTGTGTTTTCTGAGGTTTTCATGGGTGTTTGTATGTAGGTCTTTGGTTATTCGGGTTTTCTCCCACGTAAAATTGGGAGAAAACCCAAATAACCAAAGACCTACAAACATATATATATATATATATATATATATATATATATATATATATATATATATATATATATATATATATCTGCATAAACTGAGCAGTGCACAGGAAATGTATATGTCAGGAACAAGGTTCAATTCCTATATGTTACTCCCAAAGTTCAATTCCTGGCCCGGTCCTTACTGCCTTTTTAAGTGAAAAGTAGACTTCCCTTAGTGGCTACACATTCAGGAATTGTTTAAAGTTATGAAAGCAGGATACCTATGACCATCCTCAGAGTTCTGGCTTTGCAACTGACTTGCAATTCCAATGTGTACAGTGGGACCACAGTCGCATGATCGCTTTTTACCACCTTCCCTGCTGGCTTCTTACAAGCAAAGTCAATGAGGAAGCCAGTAGGAAAGTCACAAGTCGCTCTGGTAAGTCACCCCTTCCTTCCTGTGCTTGCACCCCACCACACCATGAGTTCTCGTTTCACCTGCTTCTAAAATACATTTTCTAAAACAACTTTCCTGTTGTTGTATTGATACTGTATTTCCCAGAATGACAACAATCCATGATGATGCAGAGGGACTGAAATCCAGAAAATCTACATTCATTAAACCTATGACAAGCAAACTGCATTTCATTTGAACTGGGCTACGGGCAACTGAATTATGAGGCACTGAAAGAAATCTGGCATGATCTTATCCTTATCTAATGAAAAGATATTACAAAATCAGGTTTTATTAATATAGTGACATTAGGTTTATTAAAGCTGTAGATAGGATGACGGTGGAAGTTAATGAATCCAGCATGGGTTTTTTTTTCCAGTTCTAGATAAGGATCTCTAAACAATGAATCTCGAGTCATGGAAAATGAAGCTGCTGTAGAGCTTGTCCTTTGCTGAAGGACAAAATATATACCCTTTACCAAAAAAAAAAAAAAAAAATTCAAAGCATCTATTACTCAATTGTACCTTTAAAAAAAAAAAAACAGAGTGCACTTCACCCTCATTAAAGTCTTGTTCTCACTATTTATTTTAGTTCCCAGAAAATCTTGGTGGCACAAACTCTTACATCTATTAAAGCCACTTGAATTTCTAAAGTTGGAATTATCCCTGGTAACATGTTCCACTTAGGTGGAAAAAAGGGATAACACAAGAGCTTTTAACTTTGAAACTGGCATAGGTCATCTTGCATCTTTGAGATATTTGGAAACCATTTGTGACCCAATGGTTAGGAACTATGCAAGTATTACTTTGAGGAAAAAGAGCATATTGCCAAAGCTGCACGACTCTAGCTTTATAACTTGATGGAAGAATTTGCTCCATTGAAACAATTCATACTGATTTTATAGGAACGTCATGTTGTAGTTCTGTCAACTCCTTCTAAAGCCTTTGTAAGGATTTGCATCATACAGGATTGCATTAAGCCTGAGCACATCTGAACAATATCAATTAATTAATGTTATTGAAATAAGTCTGTTTTCAGTAAATTGGATTGCGGGATCAGGCTTCTTGCATCTCAGAACTTTCATAAAGTATCTCTCAGCAGCTTGGCTAATCCAGATCAAACTTTCAAAGCTGAGGCTGTTGTCACTGCTTCCCCTTCTAATCCTTGTAAACAACTAAAAAGATGGAACATTCACAGATTAAGGCAGGATGCATTCCTATTTTATCATTCAAAGACAAGAGACAATCTAGATTCTAGATTAGGAGCAGGTTACCATTTGGCATAGGAGATGTTCAATTTTTAAAAATAAATGGGAAGTAACTAATGACAGTATTGTGACGGATGGAGGCAACATTTTTCAGCCACTTTTTTTCTGAAGTGGCACAATGCAAAATAAGTTTGTTAAGCTTCAGCTGGATCAATTTTGCATTCTGAGATCAAAAACAAACCCTTGTAAAATCAAACTGCTCCAAATGATCAATTTTGTAGCTAAATCTTGTTGGGGCAAACTGGGAATGATCTGGGAGCCACAAAATCACTAGACTGCCCACTGCTGCAGTCCAGTCTTCCCCAACTTGATGCCTCCAGACATAAGAATCAAAATTCAAATCATCTTAACCTAGCAGGGCTAATGATCAAAGATGAAGAGAGGGCAAGTTACAATATCTGAGGAGACCTGAATGGGGAAAAGCTCCCTATCACACACAGGCTTGTCAATTGTTCTTTATTTCAATGTCAGATAATGTAAGTTGCTGTATTTTTAAGTTCTACTCCTATGTCATAAAGAGCTGGTGGCTGGTGGTTGCTAAGGCAGTCTTATACAGACTTTTTCAAAACAAGTCTTGCTCAATGTTATTTAGGAAGCATAAACAGGATAGAGTCCTAAAACCATGCAATGTGAAGTCTCTAATTCAAACTTAAACTCACTAGGTAAATAAGAGAATAATCAGGCAATGTTGAGCTACACTGGAAAAAGTCTGAATTTACAGAAAGCATTATTTTCCCCTTCATGCATATCTTTGCACTGTCCCAAGCTCTGATGATAAAAAAGTTAGTTTGGCCTTCATATAAAAGAGAGACCTTGGATGAAGTAAAGAGGGATTTGTCCTTGTGGATGGAGGGGCCAGCATAATAAACCAAAGGGAAGCTGAAAGTGGAGAGATTCTTTGCAGTTCAGCCAAGACCAGTTTGCTATTTTACCGTATTTTCCGGCATATAGGACGATTCGGCATATAAGACGACCCCCGACTTCGGCGCCGATTTGAATGCTTTAGAAAGTCATCTTATACGCCGGAAAATACGGTATTTTTTATTTTTTGCCATGTGAAACAACCCAGCAAACATTCTCCAGTTCAGCGTTTCAGGATGATTTTTGTGGGGGAGGTTAATAGCTGAATACATGTTCTGTCGCTTACAAAATAATAAGAGAGTGACAGTTTCATAGGAGGAAAGAAAAAAAAAAGAATTTTCCCTCCCTGGCAAAAAAGCTGCAACAGCAACATTTCTAACATCCCCAGCCCACGCTGCTACGAAAGGAGGAGCCACAGATACAGTGGATAGCCTCACTGAGAAAGGCTAAATTCTGTGCAAGTCTGCTCGGGATTAAAATTTCTAAGCATCAGCCACAGTCCAATGTACTTAGATTGTATTTTAAGAATCCCAGACTATCTTTTCTTCGCTTCCACAAGGGCCTTTTGAAATGTATTTTTCGAAAAGTTGACTCTTTAAATGGCATTTGTTGGAAATGAAGCAAATTTATCTACGATGTGAGTGAGATGAAACTTAAAACAAAATCTGCTTCTGCAAATTATTTTTTTCCCAATATTTCCTCTTTTTCGATGCAATAGTTACAAATTCAGCAAATGCTTCTGCTTTAGGAATTTAGAATAAAGAGATTGTTCCTTCACATTTTTTTTCATTATAGCAAGATTTATATTCTACCAGTGAAGTTTGAAGATTAAAGAGGATTCCCATTTCCTCAGTTCAACACACAAGTTTTAAATAATGTTGGATGTACGCATTTTATGAGATGATTGGTTGGTTGGTTGGTTGGTTGGTTGGTTAACTCGTACACAACCAGCTTCTGTGAAATCTGGATTCATGGCAACAAAAAAGGTAACATAATAAAAGCAATGAAATATTACCTAGTTGTCATAATGCTACCCGCTCATGCCTAAAAGTTTTGGAAGAATTCTGTCCTTTAGGCCAGGGGTCCCCAACCCCTGGTCCATGGACCAGCACCGGTCCACAGCATGCCAGAAACTGGGCCACGCAAACAAGCGAAGCCCCATCTGCAGGATGCAGGCAGCATGCAAAACCACGCCCCCTCCGGTCCACAGAAAAACCTGTCTCTACGGAATCGGTCCCTGCTGCCCAAAAGGTTGGGGGCATCTGCTTTAGGCTTTCTCCAAATATTTAAAGCATGTGCAATCCAAACTTTGTCAGGTAAGCTATTCTTACAAGAAGGAACCCCTCAGAGAAACCCTACCTCTGGGCCAACACACCTTCCCTTCGCAAGTGTGGGACATCTTCAGCTTTTCTGCTTGTAACACTGCTTTTATGGTCAAATTTAAGTTTCCTGAATTGCACTTGGAAATCTACTGGAAGGCAATGTGCTATGTCTCTTACCTGTCAGCACGCAGGCTGTTGCATTCAGCACCAACTGCAGCCTCCTGGTGGTCTTCAAAGGAAACACTGTATAAAATTCATCATTAGCATAGCCCATTTAGATGGGGGTGGGGATGTGAGTCATTTTTTGACCTCCACCTAGGCATCCAATAGCCATGAGTCCAGGAAAACTCCCAACCTGCAGACTTGTTGTTATCGTACATTGAATTTGATAATACATGCTCAGGAATAAGCCCCAATGAACATAATACTGTATGTTTAAGTCATTCGGTTACACCAGGAGTAGGCAACCTTGGCGCTTTTATGACTCGTGGACTTCAACTCCCATAATTCCTGAACCAGCCATGCTGAGGAGAAAGGGAGAGGTTTTCATGCTGAGCCATGCTGGCTCAGGAATTCTGGGAGTTGAAGTCCACGAGTCATAAAAGAGCCAAGGTTGCCTACCCCTGAGTTACACAATACAGTTACATTGTTTAAAACAGCTATTTTAAAATTAATCAGTAAACTTAAACTCTGTCGGTAGACTGACTTGAAACTTGTGTGTGTGTTTGTGTGTATGCGGGCTTGCGTGAGCACAAGCACATTCAAGTCATTTTTTACTCCTGGCAACCATCTGGACAAATCCACACAGTTTTCTTAGCAAAATTCTCAGACGTGGCTTGCCTCTGCCTTTTTTCTAGGGCAGAGGAAGAATGACCCAAGTCATCCAGCTGGCTTAATTCCTTAAACTCATAATTTCTGACTCTCTTGTTCAGAAACCTGCTCTTTAAAATTAATTTTTTCAGAAACACAATGGAATATTTTTAAAATCCAGAATCTGAATTCATAATGTCGCATTTGCTACTTTGAAAAAAAAAATGGCAAGCTCAACAGGGATTGTGCTGATAGGATACTCAATGCACTAACTCCCCATGCAATAAGGAACATAGTTGCAAAACCACATGGATGCTCACAAGGATGAACCACGCCATTCAGGTAGCAACTCAGCAACCCTCTCCTGGACATCACTGGACATGGGCAATCAGTATCATAAATACTGGCTATCTGTATCCGTATCTCAGTTCATCTTTTTTTTCTATGCTGGTATTATGCCCCTGCTTCCCTAAAAGGATTCGATAGCATCAAATGACCCTTTCTTTGACGTCATCACCATATGAAGAAAATAGAAAGTTCAACTATGGGAGGGTCACCTAAACATATCTCCAGTTCCCTGAGACTGCACTCCCCTCCTCAGGTATGGTGACACAGCCAGCGTTTGAGGGATTCCTAGAATGATAACAGGGATGTAGCTAACTTAAGGGGGCAGAAGGTTCCATGGAGAGGGCACCTGGAAGAGAAGGTCCATCTCCTAGAACCCCCCTAATGTAGATCCCTGGAAGTTGGTACCTACAACATGCGTTCTCTGCAAGATCTAATGGGATGGGCTGTTGTAATCAGTTGCTCAATCTCTGTGTCTAATATAACAGAAGAACTCTGCTCTATCAGGCCACATATACTGAAGAAGGATAGTCCAGCATTCTGAATCCCCAACAGCTAATCAGATGCACAGAGGAAATATGTTGAGTTTGGTTTAATGGTTAAGGCACCAAGCTAGAAAGCAAGAGACCATGAGTTCAAGTCCCATCTTAGCCATGAAAGCCCACTAGGTGACTTTGGGCCAATCATTCTCTCTCAGCCCAACCCACCTTGCAAGGTTGCTGTTGTCGGGAAAATAAGAGGAGGAAGGTGTGTTGGATATGTTCACCGCCTTTAGTTACTTCTGAAAATAATAAAGGTAGGACACAAATAAATAAATGGCGGACAAGACTGAGGGGCATAAGTTTTCTTCTACTCTTACTCTGTAACAATTGATCTTTAAAGCATGCAATCTTTGATTCTGGAGTAGCTACTAGTAGTTATATAACCCTCCCTTCCGCAAATTAGTCCAGAGTCCATTTAAAATGGTTAGAATTGGTAACCATCACTCCATACATGGTAAGTCAACTGAACAGTGTGCAATGGATGACTCTCATCCTGGGATAATCACCTTCGTGATCATGGTATCTCTCCTACCATCTATGCACTGAATTAATCAAGCAAAGGACCTTTTTATAACAGCCACAAAAGCATCCTTTGTCATGATTAAATATGCACGTCAAAAACAACTATGTACTAGCAGCTGTTAAATTATTCAAGGCTAAAATACTGGACTTGATGTATATGGCACCCAGTTAGGTTCTAATAATAATAATAAAGTTGGAAGGGACTTTGGAGGTCATCTAGTCCAATCCCCTGCTCAGGCAGGAAACCCTATACTATTTCAGAGAAATGGCTGTCCAGTCTCTCCTTAAAAACTTCCAGGGTTGGAGCATACACAGCTTCTGGAGGTAGGTTGTTCCACTGATTAATTGTTCTAACTGTCGGGAAATTTCTCTTTAGTTCTAGGTTGCTTCTCTCTTTGGTTAGTTTCCATCCGTTGCTTCTTGTCCTGCCTTCAGGTATATTTTTCAGAATGCTTCTAAGATAGAAGCTATCTAGCCCCAAATTGCAAAGGATTATACCTGAGTTCCTTACTCCACATTAACCAGTTGGAATTGGGCTGCATCTCCTTTGGAATCTGCCTAAGACTTTGTCACCTCAGATACTACCAGTAGTTGAAGCACGTTCTTTAGAGAACATATTTAGGTTCACTTCACCTTATCTGATAGGTGAGAATCTTCCCTAAAATGACAAATTAATTTTGATCTGGTTTTCTGAGTTTTTTCTTTTTTGGTCCCACCCTTGATAAACCATAGTTGTCCTTTTGCTGAAGATCAGAGGCTTAAATCTCCAAGCATATCTCCTATTTCCATTACCACACAATAGCCACCCTCCCTTGTTCCATTCCCAGATACCTCTATATCTTTTCATCTATTTTACATAGGAGATTGTTCACTTTGGCCAAATCAGAAAATTACACATAAGGAAATAACTCGTACTGTAGATGCATGATTATGAAGACTGCACTTGTCTATGTTCTGAGACAGAAGTAAAATCTGTTTCACGTGTACAATTGTACTATACAATAAATGGATGTTAGAACTCGTAACACCCTCACATCCTCTGAGCAGGTCATCATTTTTCACCTGAACAAACACACTTCAGCTATTTCTAATAAAGTTACTAAATTTTTAACAATAGCCACAGCCTGCATGAATCATCCGATGCCCTACACTGTTAATTGCTTCTGGTTTTTCTGCACGAGTTCTATTTAAAAAAAAAAAAGTTTTATACCACTGTTTTATATTTGATGTATCGTAATATTTTCTTCTTTGAAATATTAGTTTCAGACCATAAATAAATGATGAAACTATGTGCAGTGTAAAGAAGTGGTGTTCTTCCTTATTGGTCCAGGAGCTCTCTGCATTTAGCTTCTGTGCAGAAAAGGGCCAAAATTCCTGCTCTTAGGAGAAAGGCTGTGCAAATGGTTAGAACTGAACAAATTGGACCCCTTTCCTGAAGGGCGCAAAGCAAATGACTAGCAGTTTCAATGTCTAGCATTTGTTCATATCCATGCAAAACACTAAATCTCAGAAGGCAATATTGTAAGCCCAGCTCACAGCTGCGTGTGAGGCTTTTTAATTCATGGGTTCCTGTATTCTGATGAGAAACAGCTCAGTTTATATCTGAGCATTGATAGATAGCTTTTAGTAGCATTAATTTCTCCTCATAAAACCCTGCCAATTCAATAGAGAGGGACATTTATAGTTTTCTAAGGGTCAGAATGCCCCAAAAGAACATGTTCAGAGCCTCTAAATATGGTTTACATACTCTCTTTATCTTTATTTAGTTATACCTTTTCTCACCTGCCAACTATCAAAAGTTGGTGATGATTTCAAATGTCTTTTCTCTGAGGCAGAAATTTTTGAATGGATTAAATTGCCACCTGAATATTATGTCCCAAAAGATAGATCATTAAACCTCAGGGAAAAATGTCATTTTTCCAGGAGGAAACCTGAAGAGCGAGACAGTTATGTATAAAGACTTCCAGGAAAGTCTAATCACAGATGTCAAAAACAAACAAGCCAAAGGTAATAGTGAGATAGCAGAATGTCTTAACTTGTATTTTACATCTGTCTACTCTCAGAAGGGAAATGAAGCCCTAGCTGGCCTTCAGGGTACCTCTAGTTGAAGAAGGAAATGGTCAGATGAGCTACATCCTAGGACAGGTGTAGGCAACCTTGGCTCTTTTATGACTCGTGGACTTCAACTCCCAGAATTCCTGAGCCAGCCATGCTGAGGAGAAAGGGAGAGGTTTCCATGCTGAGCCATGCTGGCTCAGGAATTCTGGGAGTTGAAGTCCACAAGTCATAAAAGAGCCAAGGTTGCTTATCCCTGTCCTAGGGTAATGAAGAAACTAGCAGATGTGATAAAACAGAACCATGAACAAGATGCCTGAAGACTGAAGTAGGGCAAATGATGTTCCTATCTTTGAAAAAGGAAAAAACAGAAAACCTAGGAAACTATAGAGCTGTCATCTTGATATTTATGCTGGGCATCGTCCTTGAGCAAATTATCAACGTGTTTTTGAGCACTTGAGTAGAAATGTAACAATTAACGAGAATTTGACATTTGTCAAAACCTCTTATGACATCCTCATTAATAACACTGTAAAATATATGTTAGATCAGGGCAGTGGTGGGATTCAGCCGGTTCGCGCTACTTTGGCATATTCACATATTTGAATCCCGTCACTGGGTCAGGGGTCCCCAATCTCTGGAACTGGGCCACACAAACAAGCAAAGCTTCTTCTGAGTATGGGTGGGATCTAGGTAGCAAGGGAAACCATGCCCCCCTCGGTCTGTGGAAACATGGAACTGGTCACTGGTGCTCAAAAGGTTGGGAACCACTACATTAGTAGCTCTATACCAGGGGTGTCAAACTGCCGGCCCGCGGGCAGGTTTCATCATACTGGAGCCGCACCCACAGCTCTACATACTTTGTTGATGTTAACAGGAGCATAGTATCTTGATTATATATAGGCTAAACATGAGCCAACAGTGAGATGCAGCTGCTGAAAAGAAATTTGCTATTTTGGAGAGTATTAACAGGGGTCTGGCCAAGGGGCACTTCTGTCCTGTAATCAAGATACTAAGCTCCTGTTAACATCAACAAAGTATGTAGAGGCAGTTCAGATCATGGCCATCAGGACATGTTTGGCTGGTAAAACAAAACTTTAGGGGAGTTTTAATAGCCCTCTTTGGATATCTAAGGAGTTATCACACAGAAGAGGATTTGCTCTGAAAGCCAGAACTAGAACCAATGGGTTTGAAACTGCAGAGAAGCAGACTTAGGTTAGAAGAGGAATTTCCACATTGAAAAAACTGTCCTAAGTTTCCTCATGAAGCGATCCATTCCTTTCTCTGGAGATCTTCAGATCTTCAGACAGTATAACCATTTATCTGAAATGCTTTAGCAGATCCTACACCAAGCAGGGAGCCGGACTAGATGACCTCTGAGATCCCTTCCAGTTCTAAGATGTTATGGAAGTTTGTGCAAAAACAGGCAAAAATCTGAAGTTCATTGTGCAGCTCTGTGTGCTAAGCATCCACTGTTGCATTTTATATCAAAAAGAGCTGTGGGGTATAGAAAATCCAAAATTACTGTTGGTAGAGAATGGAGGCAACAACACAATAAGTCGGCTGAACAGCTTCAGGTGCATTGTTAGTGTTCCTTAGGATCACACACTCCATGCTAACATTAATCCAAGAACAGTATTACCCACAACTGAGAAAAAAGATGGCTTGAAGATTCAGCTCATCCTTATGATTCATTTTCAAACCCTGTAAACGGGGATGCCTGAATCTAAACCACTTTCTATAAATAAACCTGTGGGTAAATCTCATTCTTTACTGTATAAAATGTAGGGGCACAAACAAATGAAGGAAAGTTCTGGCTTTCCAATACACAGGGATGAACAGGGAGAGAGGATATAAGGTCAATACTATTTTTCTCTTCCATCATCATCATCATCATCAATCTGTCTCTTTAATATGCCCCTTAGAAGAATCCGCAGGCTGGCTAGAAGCAGTTCGATTCCAGAACCCCAACTGGATCCGACCTCTTAGATAGATCCTCCCCAGTTATGGGCAACTCTTTTTTTTTTTTTAATCGCTTTAAAGGAAAAAGAATTAAGGGAAAACTATAGCTATTCTGTTCTCCGTTATGTTAGTAGCGGCAAAATGGCTTAATTCAACTCAGGAAGAAATACTGCACAGTTCGTGAACAGCCCCGGTCAACACGTAGCGCCTTGCTAGACACGCTCCCGCAGAAGCGACCAACCTTGCGCCTTCCCGCCCGTTTTGTGCCCACCAATCCACTCGGCTTGCGACCCCTTCCCCCCTCCCCCGAATGTACTTACGAATCGCCGGCAGCTTCAGATGTTCCCCATCTACTTTAAGTAGCAGTCCTGGCGGAACTGATGAAAGCACCCGAGAAGTCTCGGCGGCGGCAGCAGCGAGAAAGCGGACTCGCCAGCGCGGCTTCTCGCCAGTTCTGCCAGTCCCCGTTGCTAACTTTGGAAACTGCAACAGCGCCCTCTAGCGGAAAAGGCCGGGATTCCCCCCCTCCCAGTTGGAATTCGGGGGGGGGGAGGGGAGAGATAGAGAACACCCAGGCGGAGAAACTGTGCTGATGCTTTCTGCCGAAGCGGTTTTACCAGTGTTGCAAGTGATTAACGGGATCATTTTGCAACATACCACAATGTTTCTTCACCTATGGCAATTTTTAAGATGTGTGGGTAGATGCATAACATTTTTGGAGAGATGAATGCAACGAAATTTCATTTTAACGCATGCTGATTGGTGTACATTTAAAGTGACAATAAAGTTTCTATTCTATTCTATTCTATTCTATTCTATTCCCAGAATTCCCCAGCCACCGTGATGGCTGGAGAACTCTGAGAGTTGAAGTCCACACATCTTAAAAGTTGCCACGGTGAAGAAACACTGTGTTATACTAATTGCATTAATCCTCTTCTGTTTCACATACTTGACAAAAAGGAGGGGGAAAGTAGAGAGGGACCGGGGTGGGGAGCGCTGCATTTCAGTATACTGAGCGGGGCTAAATCTCAACGCAGAAATCTGAGTGGCATTCTCTAACGTAGAGAGCCCGGTGTGGAGAGTAGAATGGTTTCAGAAAGTGTGCCTGTCTCTTTAAGAGAAAAGCGCAAAGCATCTCAATAGTTAATAGCAACTTATTAAAACTCTTTTCTGTAGTTTTGGGACCTATGGGGAGAACTTTAATGACAAATTTGGGATTTTGAGAACATCTCAAAACAGCTTCCACAGAAGACATGACTTATCCTTAGTGTTTCTCAAATCCGGCAACTTTTTAAGAAGTGTGAACTTCAACTCCCAGAATCTCTGAGCCAGCACTGATGGCTGTGGAATTTGGGGAGTTTTAATCCACACATCTTAGAGTTGCCAAGTTTCCGAAGAAGAAGAAAAAATTACTTGAAACATCTGACTCTAACCCAATTCTTTCTTTTATGACCATTTCTGCTATGTACCAATTTGTATTATGGAGCAAAGCCCACACAGTAGCATATACTGCATGCCTAATAATAATAATAATAATAATAATAATAATAATAATAATAATAATAATAATAATAATAATAATAATAGTAGTAGTAGTAGTAGTAGTAGTAGTAGTAGTAGTAGTTGTCGTCGTAAAGTTGGAAGGGACCTTGGAGGTCATCTAGACCAACCCCCTGCTCAGGCAGGAAACCCTATACCATTTCAGACAAATGGCTGTCCAGTCTCTTCTTGAAAACTTCCAGTGTTGGAGCATTCACTGCTTCTTGAGACAGGTTGTTCCACTGGTTAATTGTTCTGTCAGGAAGTTTCTCCTTAGTTCTAGGTTGCTTCTCTCCTTGCTTAGTTTCCACCCGTTGCTTCTTGTCCTGCCTTCAGGCGCCTTGGAAAACAGCTTGACTCCCTCTTCTTTGAGGTAGTCCCTGAGATATTGGAACACTGCTATCATGTCCCCCCTCGTCCTTCTCTTCATTAAACTAGGCATACCCAATTCCAGCAGCCGTTCCTTATATGCTTTAGCCTCCAGTCCCCTAATCATCTTTGTTGCTCTTCTCTGTACTCTTTCTAGAGTCTCAGCATCTTTTTTTGCATCGTGGTGACCAAAACTGGATGCAGTATTCCAAGTGTGGCCTTACCAAGGCATTGTAAAGTAGTATTAACACTTCACATGATCTTGATTCTATCCCTGTTAATGCAGTCTAGCTCTGTGATGGCCTTTTTGGCAGCTGCAGCACACTGCTGGCTCATATTTAGGTGATTGTCCACTAGTACTCTGAGGTCCCTCTCTCAGTTACTGCTATTGAGCAAGGTACCCCCTATACTATACATGTGCATTTGGTTTTTCTTGCCTAAACGTAGAACCTTGCTTTTTTTCATCATTGAATTTCATTTTGTTAGATAGTGCCCAGTGTTCAAGTCCGTCCAGATCCTTCTGTATCTTAAGCCTGTCTTCTGGAGTGTTGGCTATTTCTGCCAGCTTGGTGTCGTCTGCAAATTTGATGAGTTCCCCATCTATCCCCTCGCCCAAATCATTGATGAAGATGTTGAAGAGCACTGGGCCTAGAACAGAGCCCTGGGGCACCCCAGTACACACTTCCCTCCATGTAGATGCGGTTCCATTGAGGACCACACGCTGAGTACGGCTGGTCAGCCAGCTACGGATCCATCTGGTGGTGATGCTGTCTACCCCTCATTTTTCTATCTTGTCAAGTAGTAGGTTGTGATCTACTTTATCAAATGCCTTACTGAAGTCCAAGTAAATTATGTCCACAGCATTCCTCTGATCCACTAATTTTGTCAGTTGGTCAAAGAATGCAGTAAGATTTGTCTGGCATGATCTATTTTTGACAAACCTATGTTGGTTTTTAGTAATGACTTTGTTTGCCTCTAGGTGTTCGGTGATTCATTGTTTGATTATCTTTTCCAAGATCTTCCCAGGTATGGAGGTCAGGCTGATGGGTCTGTAATTTCCTCGGTCCATTTTTTTTCCTTTTTTGTAGATGGGAACTACATCATCTCTTTTCCAGTCCTCTGGTAGTTCCCCTGTGCTCCAGGATCTTTGAAAAATATAGTTCAGTGGTTCTGAGATCACATCTGCCAGTTCCTTGAGAACCTTGGGGTGTAATCCATCTGGTCCTGGCGATTTGAACTCACTTACCATTTTCTTGCCTATCCTTAACTTGTTAACTTCTAGGCCAGGCTGTCATAATTATAGAACCTTTGCTCTGCTGATTTTGTGTCTAGATAAGCAAAACCATGTTTATAATTTTAGCAGATAAAAAAGCCACCCAGCATTTATATTCAGCTTGATTTTAATTTTGATACAGGCTTCCCAAGTTGCATATATCCTCACCTCAAGCAAATCTGGCATCTTTCAGAGCTCTCAGCCAAAGCAAAGATTATTTTTTATTATCTCTTGTGTTGCTGAGAAAAGAGCCAGAAGATTAAGGGAAACATTATCCAATAACAGAACTCTATTTAAAAGAATACCATAAACACAAAAGAAAAGGGAGTTTTCAAAAGGAAAAAAACCTTCTGCTTATTTCTAATACCAAGAAAGCTGCTTCTCTTTTCATACTCTTCATTTTACTGAGCCATCTGAAGGAGTCATAATTCAATCATAAGGCATGGTTCTATTGAAGGAAAAGTCTTCATCATGGTTCAATCCAAGCTGGGAATAAACAACACGATGACTGCTTTAGAAAAGAGGTTGCAGTTTATTGAAGAGGAGAGCCAGACAGAAAGATGGCTCTGAAAGGAAAAAAAAGAGCACATGTACGGAGTGGATTTTTATACCCTCTCGAGCCTTTTGTTTGAAATTGTTCCTGTGGCATGAACTTTGACCTGAATCTGAGTGTGCTCTTTGGCATCTGTGGGTTAATCCTATTATGTCCTGTCTTAGAGTTTAGATGGGGTATGTAGATTTTAGGTGTCTTTGTCTTCCTAAACTTCTAGCTGGAGTCCTTCAACCTTCCTGGATTATTTACATCTGCATTTCTACAGAACTGGTTTCTGGCTGGGGGAGGGAGACTTGGGGCTATTAAAAAAAACTGGGCATGCTTTTCCGCCTCTTTAATATTTCCTTCTCTGGGGGGGGGCTGACTTCTCACAGTTCCATCTCTGATTTTTGTGAGCACAATCCAAGGTAAAGTACTATTTGGCAGCAAAAGACCAACCTTCACAGCATCTGTTGTAGCAGAAGATGGGGGAAGAGTAGTGGCTGAATTAGGCATGATGGTAACAAAATAGGCAAGGCTAATTCCACAGAGTAGGTGCCAAAACAATGAAAGTGCACTTCTGGGTTCCTCACAAATTTATTTATCAGATTTATAGAACTACCCAACTCACATACATGACTCTGATTAGTGTACAATAAAACAATCAAGTAAACAATTATAAAACAATATCATACAACAGTTGAAAAAGCTGAAAACAAGAAGAATGGGCCAACATACCACATACAGCGAATCTACCTCAGGGGCTTTCTCCTTCCCTCGGATCTCCTGTTGAAAGATTCAGGATTTGTTTAATTGAAGGATCCTGAAATGTACCAACCCTGCCTGATCAAATCAGCATGAGCACGTCCTTGAAGTCATCAGGAGTGTAGGTTTATTTGAATGAGTCTTTCAAGGATTTCCTTATATTTTGACAAGCTGCTAAGATTATGCTGGAGCTTATAATTTAGCACATGTATTGGTCTCAAAATGCCAGCAAAACAAGTTGCCCAGTTTTTAGCCATAGTAACAAGAACATTTGGGAGTCTTTCTCTCAAATTTTACTTTTAATTATTCTTAGCCACAAGCTAAAATTGAGTGCAAAAGTACTGGAGGGAAATTATTTTCCATTCTCTTCTGGCTGTAGGCTGATTTCTCAGCCCCAAAAGAAAGTAATTCAGATCTTGTATTATTTTCTTTCCAAGAATAAGAAGGGCTTGTGGATGGGTAGAAAATTAGAACAGACACTCCTCAAGAATAAAAGAGATTAAGCAAGCCTTTTCCAGTCGCTCAGTGCCCTGCTCCCTGATTCAGAATTGTGCTATTTCTTTTCAAGAGAAAGAAAAGTATTGGAAGGAAGAATTATGGCTAATCTATGACATAAGATCAGATTAGGCAAGGCAAGGCAAGGCAAGACAAGATAACCTTTATTGCCATTTTTTACTATGAGCCCGCTGGCCCACATTAAAAATGAAATTCTGTTGCCTGCTCTCAAAAGAAAGTATATATTTAGGTGATTGTCCACTAGGACTCTGAGGTCCCTCTCTCAGTTACTGCTATTGAGCAAGGTACCCCCTATACTATACATGTGCATTTGGTTTTTCTTGCCTAAACGTAGAACCTTGCTTTTTTTCATCATTGAATTTCATTTTGTTAGATAGTGCCCAGTGTTCAAGTCCGTCCAGATCCTTCTGTATCTTAAGCCTGTCTTCTGGAGTGTTGGCTATTTCTGCCAGCT